CCCCAAAACCCCAAAACCCCAAAACCCCTTGAAGAAAAATTGAAGTGAAGTTCGTAAAAATAAAATCAACTAGCATTAAGAACTCCATAATTGCCTCTGCTTTGCTAGGCCTGTGCTCTTAACTTTTTGTCTCTGATTATCAAGAATATCTTTATAATTGCTACTGTAATACCCACTAGAGGAAGTGCTATGATAAAAGCCAACCACCATGGTAAGTTCTCCTCATATGTGCTAGCTGTGACTTCATAATTCAAATGGCTGAAGCAGAATTGCCTCATGTTGTTATTGTAAGTTCCATTATTTACAACATCTCTAAACAACCTGCCTTATAACACATTTGCTACTTTGTCCCATTAGCATTTATAGTCGTTATCACATTCAGCACCAGAAAGTTTAAAAGGTACGTCATCATAGAAGAATTTAACGTAGTAATTATATCTCTCGTAATGGGTATCCTCCTCTTATGACATTGGATAGTCTTTCTACCAAAATTCAATCAACAGTGATGATGAATATTTTGGTAAGTATCTAAATTATTCAGGTAGTTGAAGTCCTTTGATAATTGCAGTAAGATGCTGTGATTTTATTGATGAATAGTAGTATTTAAGATTCTAAGTGTAGGCATTAGTATTATTAATGTGGCCGAGAGAAGCATTAGCTTTTCTGTCAAAGAGTTTTAGAATGAATTTGAATTATTCTGTAGTTGCTAGTTGAACTACTGTATCATTGAGGAAGGAGTACGAATACATATAATCGTGTTCGAATTAATCAATGAGTTTCCATTCATCCTAAGTGAACTCATAATTGACGTACCTCTTTTCATTTTTATTTGAATTAATTTCATCAATTATATATCTAGCAGTTTCCATGTCAAAAGGTTCAGACTTATTTAATTTGAATTTGTTCTGCAGTAAGGGATAGAGAATATTAGTGTAATTCTAGAAAGTATGATTAACCTGAGTATTATTGATGGCTTCAAACATTTGAATTTCTCCAATGATAGGACAAACAGCTGGGTCATATCCTTTAGTTAGCATTGATTCCAAATCACCGGCATCTGAGTGGATTGGTATTGTCTAGAAGTTGTTTTCTAAAGCATATTCTCCAAGTTTTTCTTGAATTTGCTCTAGATTTTCGATAGGCATAGGAGGCACTGCATTTTAAGTTTAATTTGGTGACAATGGTTGAGGGCCGCCTGGAGGATATAAACCCATCATGTGAGCCATAGCACTCATATAAGTTCTGTCTGAAGGTGAAGCATAAGCATATATCTCTGTAGGAACCATATATTTGGTAAGGAAATTTTGGTTCTCGACATATCGTCTCCTTATTTCTCTTCCTCTCAAATACATTTGTCTCATGCCCATTGGAGTTAATTAGCCTAAACCTTAAGGATAGTTGACTTTAGTCGCATTTATAATGTCTTGACTCAAAGGCGATTTCGACCCATGCATTACATAATCGTAAACTAGAAGTAGCTTTTCCTCAGCCAAAATTTATAGAGGCACTACCGAGAGTAAAATGAATAATAGTGTAAAACGATATTCCATTATTTAAATCTTAATATTATTAACTTCTCAAAATAATCTTATTAAGCTAAGCGGGGTTTTGGGGTTTTGGGG